CGATCTCTGGGAGGCCCATTTCTTCGTCTTGGCTTTGGTCGGCTCGAGGGCAGAAGTGAGAGAGGGCAGTGTCCTCTGGCAGCTGATCCAGGGTCTGCCGCCCTGGCACACGTTAACGTGGGATGTGGGGCTTGATCGGTTGTTCTTCGGGTGGTTGAACGCTTCTACAAAGCGGCCCTGAGCCTTTGAGCTGTGACGAGCGAGGACGGGGCACAAAGTAGCTAGGTCTCTCGCTCTCTCGCTCTTTCGCTCTCGCTCTCTTTACTTGCCATTCGGTAGGTCATGTTTTCACGTATGCAGTTATGTCCAGATGCATGTTCGTATGTGTGATGCGAATGCACGTGGATGAATGAATCCACGTATGTATGCCCGCACACAGAAACGTACACGCCTCCTGCTTGTCTGCAAGTGCGTGCCATGTGTGCCTTCAGATGGGCCAGGCCACCCCTCATCTCGTCGCCAGTTCCGGCCGATTCCATGGAGGGGGCTGGGCTTCCCAGCTCTTGTCAAGTAGGGTTCATCTTGCTGTTTTTCTGGGCTGTCCTGAGACATGCTAGCACTCGTGGATGTCGGTGTAAGCCGCGTAGGCGGACCTTTCTGTTGGTTGGCTGGCTCAGTTCTTCAAAAGGGTTTCGTTGTGCATAGGTTGCTTGGCAAAGAGTTGTGTCAGGCTCTCCTGCACTTCACAAAGAAGACCGCCATCGAACTCCTGGGCCACTTGTGGCAGTGGGTCAAGACGAGGCCAAGTTGCTCTTTGCTGCTCGTATTCCCAGCCCTCTTCACATGTCTCCATGACGAAGGCCCGACTTTTTGCGGTCCTCGCTCGAGATGGTCTCGCAGCTGCTTCTGAATCAGGACACTCTGCATGGGCTTCTGCTTTACAGGTCAACCCAGAAGCTTGTGACCGTGTTGGAGTCTGAAGCCTCCTTATCCCTTGTATACTTATATTGCAATTTCTGAGCAACATCTTCTGATGAGGGAGTTGCCCTGGCCACTCCTGGATTCGCAATGGCAGGTAACACAAGTGAATACTGCTGATGCTGCTGATATTGAGGTTGAAACTCAGGTCTCCGCGGAGAGGTACTGGCGTGAACCCGGGAACTGATCTCAGAGTCCGTTCGCACTGGCTCCGGATCCTTGTTTCGATACCCGGCCCAAGTCTGCCGGATGCTAAAGGTAAGAACTTCTATTTTATTATAACCCCCGTGCATCCCAAATTGGGCTCAAGAGACCCCAACACCTTCAGCACGCTTGATTCGCGCATCTTGAGTCACATCGGCGGCCATGCCGACCATTTGTGCGCATTGAACAGGTATGTGCGTGCCCCCTGCCGGCACTGCACAGGTATGACTGCAAAGCACGCAAGATACATGATATCCCACATGACCCCTTGACATGATGGCCTTGAACTAGGCATACGAATAAGACTCGTGGTGCTGGCCTGTCCCGGAGGCTCACTGTGATATTTCTTCTTTAGGGGATCATCTTGGCTTCTCTCTTGACGCCCAGTGGCCGTTTTAGTCCCTTTGTTACAGTAGGACTGCCACTGGCTGTACAGTTGCACTGTTATCCCGCGTTGTGTTGAGAGCCCGCGCACTCCAACTCAGATTCAAATCATGCCATCAAAAAACACCTATATAAACTTTCTGGTTCTGGCTCACGTTTGTCCCCTCGTCAGACTTGGTTGGGCCAAGGCTGCTAGACCACAGCCGCACCTTCAGAACTCGCCCGTATCCCCGTGCATTACCCCTTCTGGGCACTGATTGAACAAGTTGGGAAGAGGTGCACATAGTTGGATCTGGATCTGCCGAACAAGAATGTCGACATTTTAGGGACAGGGACCGGCAGTGTTCTCGGGGAGGCGACAGAAGGACTGAGGCAGCTCGGACCTGTTTAAGCAGGATCCGCCAAACAGCCCGGCACACCTGGCCGAGCGCACGAAGCAAGTGCAGCAGGCGGGGGTCGGGGGTCTGTGTTGCAGTGGGCTCTCATGCCTGTCCGAGCGACTTCCGGGTGGGAGTCCGAAGTCCGAGGTCAGTGAAGGAGGGTTCGTACGGTCGGTCAGGGCTCCAGGGAGGCGCTCTCTCTCTCTCTCTCTCTCTCTCTCTCTGCCTGATCTTGGAGGTTTGCTGCTATGGGAACACAGGGTCCACTGTGAAGCCTCTCTGTGCTTCTGCGTGGTGTCGTTTGGGTTGAAGTTGAGCCGATTACAGTCGCGAGGAGTATTGCTAGGTGTCTGTATCTGGAAAAAGGCATGGGGTTGTTTTTGGGTTTCAGTCGAGGCGGCATCTATGGCCTTCAAAGACATTTGCCTTGGCGGCAAGCACCACCTGCAGGTGCATTTCGGGCAGTGTGACAGCGATAAACTCCTACCGACACAGGTTATAGCTGACCAGCTGGGACGACGTCTTAGGTTTGAACGGTTCTAATTTCTCAACCACTGATTTGTTTTGCTGATGCACCGGCTCGTCGCTTTCGCGTCGACCTTGCTACCGGAAGTGGGTAGGGCGCAGTTACAGGGGCTTGTTCAGCTTTTGACTTTGTATCGTCACATGGACCATAGCTCGAAGTCGGCGAAAGCTCGAGGGCACCTGTGTGACCTCATCAGCTGCTGCAGTGGCAGGATTTAGTGCCTCAGTTGATCCAGTTGTACGTGGCGACCTGAGTCAAAGAGACATGTACAGGTGACAAGGTGTCTCACAAGCAGCGGCTGCACTTCCTGTATTGACCAGAAGCAGCCCTGTCGGTTGGCGGGAAATGAGACTCAGAGCAAGGACCGGAGCATTTCTGGCTCAAGTCGGAACGCAGTTCCGATTTGATGCGAGTGAAACTTTGGTTCGTTGTTTGACCCCATAGCAGCATTTCTGGCTCGTGCGATGCCTCTTTGAAGATGCGAGGAGAGACTGACTCATGTCACCAGATTCCGACGGTCAGCAGGGCCAAGAACCAAGAGCCCAGCCGCTCTGAGGTCCAGACGACGATCTTGCATGGGTCTTAGCTTTCCATCAGATTCTCATGAGCCGCAGCCACCACAGCCAGGACCTGCGGTCCAAAGCCGTAGGAGGTCGCCTGAAGAGTCGTCTGCCTAGAAACACCAACTTTTGGTAGGTGTTTCGCCCGAAGCCCTTGCACGACTCATCGTGAAAACCGATACCCTGATCGAGTTTTTAAGCTGATGGCACACGAAGATGCGGTCAGTGGCACCATGCGTGCTGGACGCAGAAAGCCGAAGCCTTTTGGCCACGGCCCAGGCCCATCCGGATGCATCTCTTCATCGTCGACGGAGTAGGCTCTGTCGTGGCCAGCTTGACTCAGGAGAGGGCTTGTGGTGGTTGTTGTTGCGGCGATGCGATGCGACGGTGCGACTAGAAAACGACGGCAATGCTAATCGTCGCTACCGCGACCAGGTCGGTGCTTTGCTTCTCACCGCATATCTTACAGGCTGATTCGGGCGGTGATGAAGCTGATGATGGCGCGGATGAGAACGACTGTGACCGTGACGATGGCGAGTAAAATGATTGTGGATATAATGGCGATGCTGGTTGTATGAGAAGATGAGTATCATGCGGAGGCTCCGCTTGATGATGACGAAAAATGCTGATGATGATGCTGCTGCTGATCATAAAGCTACTGATCATGAGGATGATGATGCAACTGCTGATGCTCATGATGATGATGATGATGGTGAAGGTGCGGATGGTGCTCTGATGATCACGATGGTGATGGGCCTGTGGTGATGGTGGTAATGGTGAAGGATGCGGGGTGATTGTGGTGACGAGGAGTATGATGCTAATGAAAGGTGGTGACGAGGACGAGCGGGGACGGTCATTGCATGATTGTGGTGGTGGTCATAGTGACAGGTAGGACAGCGAAAATGAGGACAGGTGTGAATCGGCTAGTCATGGTAGTTGTAACTGTGGTGATGATGACGATGGTTCTTCCTTGCTCCTCCTTCCACTGCTGCTGCTTCTGGTGCTAGGAGGACAAGTTTCGGTCTGGACTGGAGCAGCTGGTCACGCCGCTGATGAACGGCACGCCTCCTTTAGACCACTGTTCGCTGATGGGGTTGTTTATTCAAGAGCCGCACGGCTACCATGGTGCTTCTGGTGCTTGAGACTCGCGCGCGTAGGGCTTGATAGTTGTGGCCAGGGCTTCATGATCGACAAGGATTTGTGAACGCCAGCCCTGGGTCGGCCCGGATAGGGTGGCATCCACGAAGCCAAGCTGAGACTTGCACTCTCCTGATGCCCCCTTCCGGAGATGCATCAAAAACTTATCCCGGTGTGAGCTGTTTTGATATCCTCAGACTCTGTGTACCGAGGCTTGAACTCGGAGAGAGAGCGGCCGGTTGCCGGCCGCTCAGTGCATGTCTGTGTGTGTGTGTGTACGGGTTGGAGTTTTTGTAGTTTTCTGCTTGACCTTCAGGACTTGGTTCGATTTTCGATGGACTCGGAACCATATGCGTGTGAAGACTCCAAATTCAGGTTTTGGCGAGGAAAGTGGCAGTAGGCTGGTAGACAGCTAGCAGGGAGGACGAGGGAGATCAGCTAGGTAGGCGACTGGGCAGACAATCTTTGGCACTTTGGAGTTGCAACCATGCGGCATTCAAAGCGGTGAGCTTGCAGTCAACGGACTCGATCCCGAAGCCATCAGTTGGCTCTCCCTTGTCTGCCAAGCGTGCCCGCCCAGCTGGTGCTGGGGCCCTAAGATAGACGAAGGGCAACCATATCGGGCTAGGTATAGGTCTGATCGCAGGTTCAATATGATGAGCAGACGGATCATTGGGGCACGCAGCTTCATCACTTCCAGCCTTAAGCTACCACGCAGGAGCAGCACCATGCAATTCTTAAGGACATGCATAAGGTCAACGGCTTTGTATTTTTGTGTGCTTATGAGTTGTCTGTATACCCGCAACAAAGATAAGAGGTTTCGTAGGACTTACCTGAACTCGAGCGTGGCCACCGTGGCGCGGTCCCGGGGCTCCTCGCTTGGGTCTGGTGATGAGCCACTATGTCAGCGGAAGGCCGGGCCTGGCTCCGGTCAGGGTCCCGAAACTGCTACTGACAGGTCTGGGCCGTTGCTTGGATGTCCCTTCTTGGTTTAAGAATCCCCGCGTGAGGCATGAGAGTGTGTCTGGTAACTCTGGGAATCGAAGCAAAGCATGAGACGAAAAGGGCCCAAGCAGTCCTTCAGTGGTGCGCAAGCATTCAAAATCCTGTTTGCAGGCAGTTCATCTTCGAGGAGAGGCCTCGCTGGATATTTCTGGGCCTGCCGCCAGGCTGCGAAAGCTTCGACATGCAGGAAAGTATGGAAAGTGGAAGGTTGAACCCAACAGCTAGATTGGCAGTAAGTCTTTTCTGTCTCTTGCTTTTCGCCTACCTGGCATCTTGTGAACATAGACCGGCACGACTTCCAGCATCGCTGCAGTGAGGTTGGTGGTCATGCTGATCGGAATGCTGATTGGCATTCTGAACCTTGGCTGTAAATGCCATGAGTCAAACGCTCTCCTTGGTATTCTGGAACTACGGTTGAGTGTTGTTCTTGATGTGTGATGTTTGGTTTGTTGGGTTGCTTCACCATTTTTCGACAATGTCCGTGTTCTGCCATGTTTCCAGTGCCTGCATTCAAGTTGTTCAAGCTCCGGGACTGTTGTTGGACCATACGGGGCTAGTTTTTCAAAGCCGCGCGAACAAAGGTCATTTTTGGCCGGCCAGAAAGACAACAGTCCAGGCTCCAATGCATGTGCAGACATGTGCACACGAAGCCCCGCTCAAACAAGGCTCGGACTAATCATCAGCCTCGCCGGGATCTACCTTTTCGAGGCCCGATGTGTGAAACTTTGGCCTGAAGCCACGCAGCAAAACGGCAGCGTGGAAAAGCGATAGTGTAATGGTCGAGCAGCACGGCCCGGTACAATATCACTTCGTAACACAGCTACTAGTAGCTTGTCAGAAAATGCGAAGCTAACAAGTAGGTATGTAGGATTGCAGCGCACAGGAACATGTTTGCGCATGTGTATGAGTTTGATGATGGCATCGGGAATCGAGGACGAACGCCACCAAAGACGGGGGTTTCGGTATCACTAAGAACCAGACCCAGTTGTCATTCTACATTGGTGGGGCAGCCTCAGACAACAGCAAGTACGTCGACATGATGATGGGGTTTCAGAAAGATCGAAACACCCCAAGCTGAGTATAGCCTATTATTGAAAGGGATGCTGAAACACCATCGACACAACACGGTAATAACAGAACAGACGATGTTTCAATGTCATTGTGGCGCATGCTACTGACAAGATAGCTTTGACCAGACGATGAGTACTGTAGCGCTTCGACATATTGCCACACCCATGACACAACACATGCACATGTCAGTAGGTCTGTGAGAACATTACAGTATGGTAGTAGAGCAGCCCTCAACACATGTTTTACCACAGCTGTTGAACACAGCCGCAACAATACAAATTAACAAACGAGTGCAGCAGGATAGGCACCCTTCGAAGCTATGTACGAGCGCATGCTGGCCTAATGAAGTGTACCTACGCGACTAGTGATGCAGCGAGCAGCACATAGCAGCAGATCTAACAAGTAGTGTGTTAGCAGCAGGAAGATGAGGCTTTCGTGCAATTTGTCGTGACAGAGTAATTCAGAATCACTGAAAACTTCTAGGTCTTTCATAGGTGTTCCGGCCGCCTTCTGTTGAAAAAGCAAGCAAGAACAGATACCATCAATCAGACTGATCAAGCCATCATCCCCGCCGTCTCCGGGCTATTGTTTAGCGCCGCTGGTTTGACCCGCAGACCTTGACAGTGAAGGCTGTAGGTCTTCGGCTTATAGTTGTTCTGGATGGGAAGGAATGAATCCTAGGACCTCAAGCCCTTCGTGAACGAGCTTTACGGGATTTACGGCTTCTGGAAAGCTGGAGCTTGCAGGGAGGTTCCCATCGGTTAACGTGCATGGAGGCCGCGCTCGTCGGATTGGCGATCTTCATTCTTTACGATGCCTATGATCTGACCTTCCTGATGCTTGGCATTCCTGACCCCAGCACCATGCCAGAAGGAATGATGGCAAATCACGTTGCTGCAACAGATAACGGGAAAGATAAACAGTACCCCAGCCAAACACTTGCGATCGACCTTTTGCGGGCGACCGTGTAACCTTCCATGATTCAGGAAGAAATCCGGAGCCGCGGACAAGACAGGCTTCGCTCTGATGGTGATGCTGCACCCTCAGTGACACTAAAGCGTCCGTGTGATGTTCTGGGCTGAGATTCCAGGTTAGCCAGTGGCGAGCTGGCTCAGGCTTGATTCAATTCAGGTTTGCCGCTGGTTTTTGGGATTCCCTCTCTTGTGGCCGCGTTCTTGACTGGGTCCCTTATCAGCCTGGAGCTGCTGGAGCAGATTGTGCAAGGATCTCGTAGTTCGACTCCGACAACAGTCCTGAGGATCTGAAGATAGGTAATTCTCCGATTGATTTCACCTCAACAGTTTTTCCAGCGTCTGACAGCCGAACCCTGCCGGTGTTGCACTCATGGCAAGGGCGGCAGCACATCGCTTCTAGCTTCGGGAAGAATGTGAGAGTCTGAGATAGTCTGAGGCTGTGCACGGCGCTGCTCATCATATTCATGGCCGCCATCCGCAGCGGGCCTACATCAGGGCATCGGAGCCGAAGCCTCCCAAACCCGCGCCGGGCCCGTTCCTGGAAGATCTGATTCCTTCACTTCTGCCGCGTGCTCTGCGTGCTCTGCGTGCTCTGCGTGGTGAGGTCCAAAGTCATGCAAACCCCAGCCGGGATTCTCGAACTCTCAAACCCATGGAAGCCCAACAGCTCGAAGTTGAAGCCTCGGCCATAGTGCGTCGAGGCGCAGCCGTGGAGACGATTAAACTCTTTGAGCTAGCAGTGGAGACTTTCGGTCTTGCCGTCTTACAAAAACCCTGCCAATCCTGAAGCTCAAGTCCCCCGACTCTTTTCGAGCCTCTGCTTCCTAGGCTATTCGGCCATTGCGCTTGGCCTGTGGAAGCGCTGCCTCATTTTTAGCATCGTGACGAAATGCAGAGGGCGGGAGAAGTGGTCGGAGGTCGCAGCAGGTTTGAGGTTTTCTCCTGCCTGCATCCGGGATGCAGACGTTCGAGGTCCAGACTTGCAGACACAAGCGTCGGCTTCTCTTGCCCACCGAAAGCTGCAGGTCTAGTGGGGATTGCTCTGGCTTTGATCGCCTACGTGTACGCTCGCCTCTGCTGCCAGGCCCTATACAAGTATACCACCGCTTCGCAGCAGTAAAGTAGGGACGACATTTCCTAAGAAACTCTCTTTGAGCCTTCATGGCACGCAATAAGATGTTGCGAAGATTTGATTGGTCGATGCAGCACGTCGTGCTTCTTCACCGCAAAGCAAGAAAGCTGGCTTAAGTGGAAGCTTGCGACAGAATTATGTGGCCTGGGTGGGGTGCGGGTGGGCAGGTCTGGGTGGGGTGCGCTTTGAAACCTTGCCTGTGGCCGGCATAAGGGTTTCTTTGCAGATCTTGCCTTGCGGTCTTACGGAAGCATAAAGCCCGTGAAAGATTCACCAGCCCGCGGCATGCTCTTGTCGAATAGATCTAAGATCCAAGCCTGGCAGGAGGACGAAAGGAAGCACCACTTGGGACCTTGCAGCCCAGAAGGAGATGAGCTGGACGCTATTCAAATGCTTGCCGAGGGGGCAGGCATAGCTCGGTTCCAGGACTTTGCTACTTTCTTACACTTGGGTTCAGTTTCTTGATGCGTTGTGTTTCCGGTGCTAGGTTCCGTTGGAAGCATAAGCACACGAAGCCTTTATGGCTTCAAGTTAATCCGTGCAGATCGCCAGCACCAGGCCGCTTGTAATTCAAGCTTCCGCCAAGCAGATCCATGTTCTTTGCGGCATAGGAGGCCGCATGAGTCTAAAGACTTAAGCTGAAGGCAAGTTGCAAGCCGTGCCCAAAGTGAAGCTCAGGAAAGCGTGGAATTCCCCGGTGAAAAAATCGGTTATTGGGAAAGCTGGTCTCGGTGTCTGGGGCTGCACTTCCAAAGATGCTTAATCTCAGCCATCCGTTGCGAGCCAGGTAAAGGCCCCTCTCCAAGCAAAGGGCAAAGGCTGCTCATCCACGTGATTTCAATCCCACAGCCGAGTTTCTTGTTTCGGTAACGCCTCGGATCTGGCAGCTGCCCAGGTTCCTGAGCTGGATCCTTAGCGGCCAATGGTGGTACGACATCAACGAAGCCTTGTCTTGAAACTTCGGGTCAGGATTGAAGAGCTCAATGTTCCGATGGGTATACGCAGGAGTTGATCAAGAAGATAACAGTAAGCACAAGAACAAGCATAAGCAGAAGCACGAGTGCAAGCACAAGGACAAAAAAAACAAGAACAAACACAAGAACAAGGACAAGGATAAGGACAAGAAACAACTACAGCACCAGCAGCAGCAGCAGCAGCAGCAGCAGCAGCAGCAGCAACAGCAACAGCAACAGCAACAGCAACAGCAGCAGCAGCAGCAGCAGCAGCAGCAGCAGCAACAGCAGCCACAGCAGCAACAGCACCGACAGCACCGACAGCAACGACAGTTCAAGAGCAGGAGCAGGAGCAAGAGTAGGTGGTCGGTGGTTTGTGGTGGGTGGTGGACGGTGGGCGGTAGGCGGGGGGCGGTGGGCAGTCGGCAGTGGGCGGTGGGTGGTTGGTGCATGGTGTTTGGTGGTGGTTGGTGGGTTGGTTGGTTGGTTGGGTGGTTGGTTGGTTGGTTGGTAAGTTGGTGGCTGGTAGATTGGTTGATCCACCCAACCACCCAGCCACCCTGCCACCCATCCACCCAACCACCCAACGACGCAGCCACCCAGGCACCCAACCACCCAACGGCCAACGGCCCACAGCCAACAGCCCACAGCCAACAGCCAACAGCCGACGGCCGATAGCCAACAGCCAACAGCCGACACAACCAACAGCCAACACACCAAATGCCAACATATCCAACTACCAACACAACCAACCACCAACGCAATCAACAGCCAACACAACCAACAGCCAACCCAACCAACGGCCAACACAACCAACAGCCAACACAACCAACAGCCAACACAAGGAACGGCACAACCAACAGCCAACGTAGCGAACAGCCAACGCAAACCAACTCAACGCAACCAGCAACCAGCAACCAACAACCAATAACCAATAACCAAAAACCAATCACCAATTATCCACGACCAACAGCTAGCGACCCAAAACCAACACAACCAACAACAGACACTGCTAACCAACAGCCAACAACCAACCACCAACCACCAACCACCACCCACCAGCCACCAGCCACCAACCACCAACCACCAACCACCAACCACCGACCACCGACCACCGACCACCGACCACCGACCACCGACCACCGACCACCGACCAACGACAACCAACAACCAACAACCAACAACCAACAACCAACAACCAACAACCAACAACCAACAAACAACAAACAACATACAACCACCAACAACCAACAACCAACCATCAACCACCAACCACCAACCACCAACAACCAACAACCAACAACCAACAACCAATCAACAATCATCAACCACCAGCCCCCAACCACCCACCACCCACCACCGACCACCGACCACCGACCACCGACCACCGACCACCGACCACCGACCACCGACCACCGACCACCGACCACCGACCACCGACCACCGACCACCGACCAACAACCAACAACCAACAACCAACAATCAACCACCAACCACCAACCACCAACCACCAACAACCAACAACCAACAACCAACAACCAATCAACAATCACCAACATCCAACAAGTAACAAGCAGAAACGGAAACCTGAGAATGCCAGAGTGCAGAACCACCAGTCTCGTTACAAATCTGGCCACTCATCCTCGCCACACCTCTCGCCGCCCGCTCCGTCCACCTGCTCCACCGCTCCACCCGCGCCACACACACCGCCCGCGCCACCGCACCGTACACACCACCTCTACCACTCCACCACCCTCACCAACCACAATCGCCCCCCATTCTGAACCATCGGCACCTCCTCCTACCGCTGTAAGGGAGTTGCTGCCATTGTCGATGTCCTTAGTCTGCGCTGCAGCCACAAGTCAACGCTGCTTCGACGCCACCGCTCGCTTCTGCAATCAGTTCCGGCCGAGCTCCTGATAACAGTCTTGTATTTGGCAATAGCTAAACTCAGGCCGCTGCTTTCTTCCGAATGGGTAAGATTCGTTGGCATTATCGTTTTCTTCCACTACCATTGACGTCAACACACTGATGGTGTGGGTCTTCAAAGCTGACAGCCTAAACCATCTGCCAGCAGACTGTGCATGCTAATTACTGTACGTCTCCAATCTTCGGAAGTGCCATTTCGTGGTTTTCCCGAAACCTGGAAGCATCGCATCGCAGAGGATTGGTCTATTCCGGCAGATGAGGATTGCTGCTCCAGGGACAAGGCTCTGTTTCCGGGTTCTTCGGGACAAGTGGGAGCTTTGGCTTTTGCTTTCGGGATGACTTGACTGGGTTCTGAGGTGCGACGGCAGCCAGCGCAGTTTCGGTCTAAGAAGCCTCTGTGCGTTCTGCTTCAGGTGGTGGTGCACAATCGCTCTTTGAAGCTGATCAAGGATCCTCGGAAGTTGAATTGAAAGCGTGTGAAGTTTGTGAGAGGCGCCCTTGGAGCCTGAGCAAGATCAGGGAGTCATGAGGGGTCTAATGGATGTCGGTTTCGCGCTCGTCCCCTTATGCTTGCAATCCTTCGGAGCCCTCAGCAAGGTCTGCCTGTACTCTTCCCGTGACGTGGTTTGCTGGGTGCCAGTGGGCGGCATCGCTGGGAGCTGTGTGGGCTTCATCCGTGCAGGCAGTGTTGCACTGGGGGAGGGGCGAGCGCGAAGAAGCAAGTCCAATTTCCTGCTTGATAGCTGCGATTTGTGGTTTCGGTCCAGGGCCCAGGCTTTGCTTGCACAAGCCCGAGTGCAATGAGATTCCATTAGTCACGTGTCATGAGTCCCAAGCTTCGACCCGGAAGCTTCCTTCCTGAACCGAAGCGTCGAACCGCTTGTTTCCGCATTCCCGGAAGTCGGACTCCGACGTGGTTGGCCCTGCATTCAGCACTCAAAGCGTGAAGCCCCCCCCCAAATCTTCGTTTTGCTGCAGGCGAGAAGCGGGCCTTCACGCTCCCCAGGCCCTGGCGCCAAAAGGCCGAGAGCAACGACCAGTTCCGGCTAAAGGTGCGGAGAAGGGCGCATTGAATCGTTTGGAAAGCTGAGGGGAGGGCTGGGGTGCATGTTGATTGAGGGAGGGTTGGCACTGGCTATGTTCGGCTGACAAAAACTCTGTTTGTACTTAGGGTCATCTTTTGCGATTGCTTCTGGATCAGTCACTCAGCATCACTCAGCACAGAGCCCAGTTTCAAGAATTGAGATCTATGCCGATCTTGGGGAGCAGTGTCGAGCGTTCCTTTGTTTCACAAGGGCCGGCGCCTGGTTGCAGATGGTCCAGGTCTAGCGTCCAGCGTTTTAGATGTCTGGCTGCGGCTTTTGTTTTCTGAGGTGAGTGAGGCTCGTGTTACGCAGATTCGTGGGGGTGGCGGAGGTGGCGGTGGTCGTGGTGGTGGTGGGGCTGTCCTTGAAGTCTCTGCTCATTGCACCCCGAACTCTGACTTCAAAACACCCGCCCTGAACAGCAAGCACCTTCAAGCCTCCAGGTTTTTATGCCCGGTCTGCTCGACAAGGACGCTCTGGCTTGAATATTGCTGAGGTGTGATGGGTTCTTGCTCTGAGCACAGACGAGCCTTTATCTTTGTCTTGCTGTCACCCCTTGAACCTCAGCCCTCCCACCCGCCGCTACCGTGCCTTGCTGGCACCACCCCCGGTTCCCTTGCCTGCAGTCGCCACTTGCCTTTTCGCTGTGTTTTTTTGCGACCGGCAAGATGCGCTTTTTGTTCCTTGGCTTGGATTCGCAGATGTTCACTCCCGACCCTGAGCAAAGAAAATCGACATTCTCAGATTGGGTCTGCCTGCTGAGGAGCTTGCCTATTATCCTGTGGCAAAGCGAGGTCAGTGTCCTGGCAGTCTGGAACCTGCCGGTTCACGGCTTAGGTGTTTCTGAGATTTTAAGCTTGGCTTCCTTGCAGGACTCGCAGTTCAAAGCTGGCAGTTCGGACAGCTCCCTGCTGTGGCTTTGTCCACGCAGTCTTTGCAAGCACTTTACATTCACTAGCAGCTGTCTGCTGGTAGTTGTCATAGAGTCGATGGAATCCCATTGTTTCTGAGAGCGAGTGAAGTCGTAAGTGGGTGTCGTCGCCAAGGTATTTCGCGTTCGTGGACGTTGAGGCTGGATTTGGTTAACAAAGCCGTGCGACCATTAATTAGATACGGGCTCCCTCCTCAACCTGAGACTTTTGGCAGCAAGGGTGTCGTGCGGCGGAGCCGCTTCCTGTCCTCGTCGCTGGCGCCCTTCGCCCTGCCTCCACTGCCTTCAAACACCGAAAGCTCTGAAGAGGAGTTGGGAAAGACCGGTGTTGGGGTTTGCTTGAGCGTAGCACAAGTTTTACGGTCATGATTGGGGTGAGGAGTACGTGGCGGCGGCAAAAGCCATGCGGAAGGACTCTTGCATGACCCAACATGTGCAAGCTTTGTGGGCAGTCTGCTAGCAGCACTGGCAAGCCCAGCCCTCTGAAATCTTCAGCTGTGCTTTCGCAGGATTCGAAATTCGAATCCCTGACGGGGCTGATGCGGAAGCGTAGCAGCTCGGGGCTAAATGCAGCTGTTTGGATGATCTCAAGAACCAACATGGGTAGTTGTAGCCTTACTTGTAGCACGCACTTTTCTATTGTTTGATGATCTTGAGGCAGCAACTCACTGCAGCTCTTGAGCCAGAGTCCGGGTCCGGATGAGGCAGGCTCTCAGTTGCAGGGACTGCTGAGCGCAGGATGCTTTTCCAACAGTGCTCCTGCGGGGAGGTTTCGGGGTTAGGGCTTCTGTGTCCCCGCTTTCAGATGGCGTGTTGCGACTGGTTCCAGTTCATTCTGCATCCCAGAACCCGTTGTTTGCGCTTTTTGCATGCGATCAGAATACGGACCATACCCCCAACCCCATTGGCACGAGTCTACGGCGTGAGGAAGTGGATTTATGCAAAGACCAGAAGTTCATGAATTCGATTTTGGCAATGTGAGCTTTAGACCCAGGATGGTCAGGTTTTGGGGACTGGTTGATCCTTCCCATGCAGTTCTGTACGATTCAACGGCTCTGTCCAGAGCTGATAAGCATCGCGATGTAGGCCTTCGAAGGCCTCCATCTGTCTGGCGTTTGTATTTTGTTGCCTCCCGAAAGATGAGTTTTGTGTTCTGCAAGCATCAGTCCTTGTTTGTATTCTGCCCAATTTATTGCCTGGGAGCACTGTCCATTGGCCCTTTGTGCTTGTCAGCATCACTGGTCGGTTTCATGCCGTGTGGCGTGTGGGCCGCTTCTGGGTCTTCCAATGGTGCAATCTCTCTGATCTCTCATCAGAGAGGTTCTCGGGCTTGGCTTTTGTAATCTTCAAGCATGGCAGAAACTTAGGAATCTTTGCGTTTCGATTTGCGGATCGTGCGAGTCCTTAGCTCGGTGAACAGGACACATCTTTTTCCGAACTCTTGGGTCAGGCACGGTAAGGTCACACTTTGGTCTGCGAAGGCCGCAGCGGATATTGAGTGAGGTAGTTTTCCCATCGGGACTTGACATAAGAGGCCAGTTGTAAGGATGGTTGATGTAAAGCCGTCAATAAAACTTAATTTGAACCGTGGCACTTCGCAAAACTTTGCACAATCGATGCTTTCAAAGAGCCATGGGGCCTTGACCGTCACGTTGGTGTGGAAGCCAATGGCCCACACACAATCGTGTGGACCCGAGAAACTGAGACTTACAAGGACTGGGGTGCGAGGGAATAAGCTTTTGGACTGAAGAAGGTATTGCTGTAGGCTTCGAGAGTTTCTTTCCATGAAGTCCTAAGACAAGATCGAGCCCCAAACAGCCAGACGCCCAGTTCGATCTCGTCTGAGCCGTAGGTTGCCGGGAGCTCGCGAAAAGCGGCGCCGGACGAGCTCCTTGACGTGTTTCAGCGATGGTTGCATCTTGCTGACTCAGGGTGTCAAGCCCGCGAAGCCTTGCAGAAAAACTGCATCAAATACACGCTGGAAAGAGCTCCCCGAGCGCTACAAGATGCCAGCCCTAGAATGCCTGCAAGACTGCAAGGTCCCCAATACTTGGTGCAGGATATGCAAAAAGACGCGTCAACTTGCATGAGCCAGATTCTCTGCTGTTCCACATCCAAGGATCGTTATCCGGAATCGCAGCAGTCACGATGTTCGAGCGATGCTGTGGCCCAGCTTGATGAAGAGCTGTGAAACTTACTAGCCGAAAGAGGTCTCTTCGCAAGAGTGGTTCTTTCGTAGCACTTGGCAGCCTAGCAAAATGCACTTGGGCATCTGATAAAATCTTCAGATCACTGGCAGGGAGAAGGGATGCAACCAGCACAAGCAAACATGTCCTGCTCCCAGTATCCCAGCAACCTCAAAGCCAGACCTTCGGCCAGCAGTGAAATGCTGGGTCTCACAAGAGACAGTCTGCAAAAAATCCGGGGCCCAAGAAACCAACCGCACGGCTGCAATTATGAGCACAGTCTCTGCGTGCAAGGATATTCAAGCAAAGAGCAATCAGCTTTACGACTGCAGATGCCAACCGACTATAAGCGACACACAAGGCCACAGCGGGCACAATTGGATGCGGGAAATGTTTCGTCCCACATTCGAAAGCCACTATACAAAACTTGCCGATACAGAACTGTGACCAGGCGAGACTGAGACTGTACACCCCAGAACGACGCATTTGTACCAGGTTGATTCGGGCTCAGCCAAAGCAGCTGACCCTTCGGGGAGCAGCCCTAATTTCCCTGAAAGCGCCGTTCCTCTCGGACAGCGAAGGTTCAGACCCAACGACTACTGCTGCATGATACCACTGGTCGGCAAGCTTCTTGGCCAGGCCTTGGAGGCAGTTTCGGCCCTAGGCCCCAGCTTTGTCCTGGACCGAAGCTAGATCCTGGATATCCTCTATATCTCTGTATTAATATGCATGTGTTCCTGAGGACTGAAAACCAGCATCAAAGTTTGAGCAGCACGGGCTATTCAACCCAAGCGAAACCACCTAACCAAATAAGCCGTGCAGCAAGGGGCGAGACCATACAATGCCAAGGCTCACGGCATGCGGTGATTGCATTCTGCAAGGACGCCGACCTGACTGTCCTTCTGGCCTAGCCTAGCAGTTGTCCCTTTCACTTGTTGTGTGTACGACATGTAGGAAGTCGCCTCAAGATCCCAGATATCATGTCCCGAGCCTCCAGCACAACAGTAGAAAACCTGCATTCCATCAGCAACTCTAACATCAAAACGACGAAAAAGCCAACAAAGTGATAGCTTGTCCGGTGGGAGGGATGCAAACAGAACTAAACATTCCATATCGCATGTGGTTTGCGCCACTATTGCGGAAAGGAGAAGAGCGCCGATTCACGCCTCTGGCGCATTCCCCGGAGTTCACTCTTAAGGCTTCCCATGTTGTTCGGCGGGGATTTGTATGTTGAGGGGTTCGGGTGTAGGGGTTGGGGTTACAAGGGAAAGTTTCTTCAGTTCAAGATCTTTGGGGTGAAGGTTCTTCCAGCTTGCTTGAAAACGGACAACTTTCAGATTTCTGGCCTCATTGAGCAAAGACATTTCTTTGAGGGGGCTTGCCCCAAGACTTTCAAAGACATTGACCGTCTTGAAGACGTCACAACAAAAACAGAAGATCCTAGCTCGACAGCTGTGCTGATCTCTTCTGTAAGCCATCCCGGGCGGCTCCCGTTCCTTGTTCGGTTCTCCTGGCAGGTGTATTCCGTGGGACCCGCAGCCAAGGAGCTCACGTACCTCACCGTCTCCCGCCCGGGCCCCCGGTCAAGGCAGCGAACCAAACAAGCCTTGTAGTTGAGTTTCTTTAGCCATTGTCATTGTGGTTTTGGGTTTAAGTCTCTTCGGCTACTTCGCAGGAGCTTCGGGTGTCGGGCTCCACAGCTGATCCCCGGAACGTCCATTGCTATACCCGACGGAAGCACTGAACCATGGAGCGAGTAAGCTTCGGCTTAATGGCATTCTGCATTGGTCCCGGAAGCTAAGGTGGAAATGCTTATACCTTTTGTGATTCTCTTCTCTCCTAGCGGCGGCTGCGCTGTTGCGAGGGGCTGCGCGTGAATTGGCACAGCCTTCCCCGACATGTTTCAAAGACAGCCGTACCGTAGCGGGTGAAAATTGTTTCGAGTCCTGGACCTCAAGCCGCATTTAAGGCTTTTCAATCGAGGCAGGCGCTTGAGTTTAGACTGCGAAGACTGGCTCTCTCCCTCCAGGGCCTTGAGCCGAAGAGTTTCTGAGGCCAGCAAGCAGGTCCGTAGGTCGTGTCTCAAAGGTTTCCGGGCGAAGGGCGCCAGCCTCGCAGGCCGAAGCACCAATTGGAAACAACTTTGAGTCAAGCTTCTCACACCTCGTGTGCTCATCGCACATCCCACGTGTCAGGCGCGCCGCTAGATGTCGTGACACTACCGACTACCGAAGCCTTGCCAGCGATGCCGGGGAGGAGGGGCAGTGCGCATGGTTTTCCGCTGTGGCGATTCCGCCCCTCTGTGCCGCCTCCTCCCCTCCTGCTGCTTGGCCTAGGAGTTCTAAGCCGGTTGTATGTGGTTTTTCTGGGTGTGAAGGAAGTCCACAAATTAGAAAATTTGGAGCATATGGCAACCAACCAGCCACAGCGGCAGAGATCACCCTCAGCAGGGGACTTCTCAAAATGTGTTAGGCGTTGGCGGGATCTGCTTTTTTCTGCAGTTGCTTTATCGAGAGCTTCCCAGGCAAGGTCCTGAATTCTACCTCCGTTTTAATCTCGCCAGGTTTGTTTGTTGTTGTCCCCACCCTCGGTATCCTGACAAGAGCTGAAAGTATCATGCACAGAGGACGGGCACATCTTGGGCTAGAGCTACGACTGTGTTGCTTTTGAGTCGTCCCCTTCCTCAAGGCAGTATGCCTATCAACTGCAGTTGCTGGAGTCAGTTTCGTCCATATGCTTCCGGACAGAGAGATCCTTGCCGTGACCATGCGCAACAAAGCTTTCCCAGCCTGGTCCCAAACTCCAACATTCCGGAATGTAGGAAAGTCTGGGCATGGCAGCCTCCAGCAGTAACTAGATGTGACAGCCGGCTTGAGGGACTGCTTAGTCAGTCCTGTAGCCCCTGAAATTATACCTCACTGTGACTCAACACGCCCCGAAGACCCACCGACACAAACAAAGTTGGACATGGCAAGGCTACGGTACCTATTTAGACAGGTGCCAGTAATTCGAGCGAGGGGTGTGGCCGTGTAGAAAGAGTGTGTTGCTTTGGTTTGACGGTCTAGGCGAAGGCTTTCTACGCTCAGGTCCAGGAACTTCAGGTAGGAATTTGCACTGAACTGCAAGGAGGAAGACCTTCGGCACCTGTGCCCGGAGTATCCTTACCAACCAGCGTTCCTTCGTGGTGTTAAGACAGAGAAGACAGCGAGAGACTGTGTTTGCGTGGGGACAGCACACACAGTATACGGCGGGCGGAAATTGTGGGGTAGGCCCTCGAGCCAAGGAGTTGCAGCCCCTAAAGCCTCGCTTCGCCTGGACAGCCTGAGTGAGAGTGCCGAAACCCCTCGCACCCACGCCCCAAACTGCCACGTATGCTTGCCCACTCAAAACAAGAGAAAGAGAGAAGCGCATGGAAATGGAGATCTCAGTTGTTTTGAGTTAGTGTCCTTAGCATGGAGGTTCAGCCGGGAGCCATGGCAAGCGACGGCGCAGTCTTGCCCAAGATGGGCAGGTGGGACAACCCTAAAACCCGAAACCAAAGTGCAAGAGAGAAAAAGAGAAGGTTTTTATCTTGTCGTGTTCGTGGCAACTTCAAGCATTGATCCCTCCCCACAAACCCGAAGGCCGAGCACTTGGGCTGGCCTGAGCCCCTGACCTCTGGTCTTCTCGCAAGAGAGAGGAGAGCAGAAGAAAGCAGAATACGCGAAAGGAGAAGATGAGGACAGTAGACAAGCAAGAAAGACGCATGAGATCGGAGACGACTTGAGAAGACAAAAGACGAGAAGAAATACGGGTGAGGGGAGTAAAATGAAATCTGCATGGTTGCAATATGAGCCAGTTGCAATGGCATACTGTCTGCCTGAAGGGAAGGCCTTCCCACCCTTGCAGATTCGGAGCCATGTGGGTGTCTCGATATGTTGTAGGGCCCAAGACTTAGAGACCAAGCCCAGGCTGCTCCCCGAATTCCTACCAACCCCCAGCAAGGCAACTTCTTCCAGTCTCGTTACCTCATAGCCACATAGGGAACAGGAATATCGAGACCTGCCTGTGAAGACATAGGCAGCCGGGAGCTGTTTGCAGACAGCCTTGGCAGGCCTTTCGCATTCAGAGGAGCAGAACTGCGGTGCCCGTGGTTTAGGTTTAGATCTCAGGAAGTGCAGGGACCACCAGACAGGGTGCAAATGCTCCAATGGCCAGTACTAGTAGGTCGTGCAGTGGCGAGTGTCTTGCGGGTTGAGCGCCTGACAGGGCCCGGCCCCCATGTAGCCATGCGTTTTCCAAGCTCCTGCCACGTGTCGTAGTGGCTCTGCTCACGCTGGCGTGGCAGCTGGTCGAAGACGCTCCCCAACTGCGGCTGACGCTCTTGTGGATGGGGCTTCAGTGCTGCGTGCAGGTGCTGGCGCCAGGGCTGTGCATTGTAGCTGTTTCTAGCGACTAGGCAGTTTGTGCGGAAATCATTCGGTTGACGGCATCTATTGGGGATCACAGTTGAGTGATCCTTTAACTGTAACACCTGTCTCAGCAGACTGCTTGTTGCAAACAGGCACTGGCTTTGCGGGATAGGCAGGGTTGCATGTCAAAGTTTACAATGCCCAGGTGCCCATAAGGCCTGCTCGTAAGCACGGTCTGGGCACGATTACGTGCTGCAAGAGCAGGGTGACGCGAAGGTGTTTACAAAGTCGGCTCAGGCAGGTTCTGCAACTTCCCCGGGCTTACTCTTTTTTGCCTTCTTTGTTTTAGCAGGCGGCGCCCTGGGGTCGTGCGTTGATAATTACACATTTCCGAGTGTGGTGGGCCTAGTTTCACAGGGTGTGGTATAGTCTAATCTGTCTGAGAACAGGGCATCCATGGCCCCAACATGATGACGTCTATGGTCCATGGTTTATTCCGTTCTAAGAAGAGAGCATCCATGGCCTCGACATGAATGATGACTTCTATGGTCTCTTCCGTTATGAGAAGCGAGCACCCCTGGCCCCAAGATGATGTGGATGGTTTTCTCCGTTCTGAGAACTGAGCTCCATAGACCAAACTTCATGACGTGGACGTTCTGAGAACACGGCATCCATGGACCAACCGTAATGAGGTGTATGGTATTGTATGGTCTCATCCGCTCTAAGAAGAGAGCATCCACGGGCCCAACATGATGTATATGGTCCAATCCGTTTTGAGAACAGCATCCATGTTTCCAACATGATGATGGGGACGGTCTTATCTGTTCTGATAAGACAGCACCCATGGCCCAAACATCATGGCACAGACGGTCCAATCCGTTCTGAGAATACAGCATCCATAGCCCAACCATGATGATGTAAGTGATCCAATCCGATCTGAGAAGAGAGCATCCGTGGCCCAACCATAATCAGTGGATGCGAAACCTGTTACGTGACTCTGCTTCATAAAGCTGCATAAGGTTTGAAACGCCCAGGCACTGTGGCCAGAGCACGATTTTGCGTTTTTTTTGAAACTACCCCTTGCCAAGAGCCCCCTCTGCCAAAGAGGCCTCCGAACATACAAAATGCATACGGGGTAAAATGCACCCGGGCTATGGCCAGAGCACGAGTACACAGGTGCCGAGCGAACATGCAGTTTCACGAAAAGTTTGCATGAGCCTGACGTTTTTGCGACACCCCGGAAAGCTCCTCGACGTTGCAAAACGCGCGTTTCGCCAGAGATTTGGCCATGCCTCGACATTTTTCAAGCGCTAGGCACCGTACGGACGCCGGCAGTTTGTTCTACTGATGAACTTAAGGTTTTTGGATGGTCGAACGCGGGGAATTGGAAACTTCGAGGTCAAGCCAATAAGTTCTCTTTAGCTTTCATATCGCAACTCTTCAATCGAAGCTTGGACTGCAAGTTTCGGGGCCTGAGCCTGAGCCTGCCGAGTCTCACCTTTGCCTTGTTACACGGACGCCAAGACACAGAAGTACGACAGCAGACATGTACAGAAAAGACCCGAGAATGTCGTGACCGTTCACAGGATTCAATTTTCACTCTGGCAGTTTGGGCTTCGTATTTTGGTGGATGTCCAAAGTCATAGGTTCACTGTTGCCTGTGTTCGCAGCCCGGCTTAGCCAAGAGTCCGTGCAGCTGCAGCAATATGATGCGCGAAATCGGCTAACCCCGGTCGCTAAAGGTGCTCAGTGAGATCTTGGACAGGCTGACGACCATCATCAGGCTGCATGGGCTTGTGCTTTGGAGGTCCAGTCACTAGTCGCTGTGTATCTTTCAGGGATTGCTTGGAGCAGGTCAGGGCCCGTCTTTTTCTCACAAACTTCTCGGTCCACCAGTAGGCCCTCAGATCTGCGAATCAGCTTGTCGTTTTGGATAACTTTCATCTCGACTCTGGCTTCGTTTGCTTGGCTTTCTGTGGTGATCTGAGTCTGATTCTCCGGGCCTTTGTTCCGCAATGTGCGGAACACTACCCAAGACCTGAGCTCAGCCCGACGCCAATCCTTCTGGGCTGGGCGCAAAATTCTGGAGTGTTAGGTTCTTGATGGTCGAAACTGATTCTGGGAAGACCAGCGCTGAGGTCCATTTTTGCACACCACGCTGGAAGAACCCGTTTTGTGGAAAAGCAAAGTCCTATTCAAACAGAACCCTGATTGCTGCTGACTTCTTCACAAGCATCCCGATTGAGGCAGATCCACGTGCGAGACGGCACAGCAAAGGCCAGGTTGGAGCCGGCGGGTGGGGGAAGCACGCTTGATGCCCGGGCTCGTCAGGAAAAGGGCTTCGGTTGCGGGGGATCAGACAGCCAAAATGCTTGGCGGATTTGAAGCGCAGGCTACAAACCTCGAGATACTTCACTTGAGGCTGTCAGCGTGGGCATTTTGATCAGCAACACCTTTTGGCCCGTCATCCGGCAGTGCTTGGCCGGAGCCTCGGGGAAGGCTCTTTCTTGGCCCCCCTAATCCAAGGCTCTGGAGATTCTCGATGTTTGCAAAGGCCACTATTGTCACGCTCGCTTCTCGCTCGTTGCAGGCCCCGCGTTAATATGTCGTGGGAAATCCTCCCCTGCGCTCCCGAGGCACAGCATCCTGGTGACTCCAAGCTTGTCGAGAAGAGTTGTCGGCTGCTGAAGCACTCCATGCGCTGCGCACCTGGGCTGGAAGTTCGCTCCGCAAGGTTTTCGTTCGTGCATGCTGACGTCTTTGCATCAAGTTCCGGGGACCGGGATCGGGGGTTGTTAGCATCAGTTGCACGGCAGAGGAAGGTCCCGAAGGAAAGTTGACAAGCGAGTGTCGGAAGTTACGATGCCCTCTGATGCCGAATTCCGCATGGCGCCTTCAGACCTCGTAGCTGGAAAGTTCTAAGGCGCTGCGAAAGCAACGGGGAACGGTCCAACCCCGCATTCATGATTTTTGAGATCAGGTGCCCGACCTCTTCAAGCCCAATGTTCCAGACGTGGCGCGTACACTTGTCACGGCCTTCCAGCAGCTGGAGCCCTGGGCGGTTCCCACTGTAGCTGTTAGCTTAGGGTCAATTTTTTGTTTTTGTGTTGCCTTGGCTAATTGTTGTTCCCTTGGTGGCTTTTCGGATTCAGTGGGGTCTTGCTTGAGGGTCGAGACTATGAAACATCCTTGAATTTGTGGGTTTGGGTTTGCATTCTAGCCGTCGAGGTTCACTGGGAAGTCAAAACGACTCATGCCCCACTGCATGAAGCAGCGACGGTGCACACTCTGTTCCCTGGACGTACGCGGGCTATGTTGCGCCTTAGTGTGATGCCCGCAGCCGTTCAGGCCCAGTGCATGTGCTCCAGTCCGGGGTACATGCCTTTATCAGCTTTCCATGTCGCCTCGTTCCACGAGGATTTTCCACACATTGTTGTTGGCGGCCACAGCTTTGCGGCCTTCGGACTTGCGGGGCAATCGTCTTGCCGTGGTCAACAACTTTGCCCATGCAAAGCAGCTGGACCTCAGGGGGCACACGGGCAGGCAAAAGTGAAGCACACCCTCGGGCTTAATGCTTGGCTTCTAGTGGCGAGTTTCGGACGAATTCGGTGCAGTGCGACTTGTTCAGCTGGGCGGGTAGGGAGGGAAAAAACTGCTTGGGAAATGCAGGGGCTGCGATCGGAAGCTCGATGCAGCACGTGCGCAAAGAAGGGGAATCAAAGCAGAGCCATCTCCTAAAACCTGGCCGTGTTGCTCTGACAAGCCGAACGGCAGAGTTGAAAACGCACTGCCACCCCAAGCCAGGTCATCCAAGTTCTTTGATGTGCCCTAGACGCCTTTCTAAACCCATCCGCCCCAGGAAGCCTTTAACACTCAGATTGTCTTGGAAATGAGCAGTTCTCGTGCAGAAACCGGCAGGACTGGCTGAAAGACTTTCCGAAGGACGAGGCAATCTCAGCTCAATGAAGTTGCCTTAAGGCTTTGGATGGGCTTTACAAGATTCAGCTTTGTAGCTGGCATAAGGTTTTGGCTGCGAGCCTTTATAAGATAGTAGTTTATGGGGTTTCAGCGTTCACGAGGTCGGACTCTGAGCGTCAAGTGGCTTTCAAAGTTTCGGATGACCCCATCGACCCTGATGCTGGCCTTCATAGTGCGCAAGAAACTTCCCATGGCCACATCCTTAAGAAGCTTCAGGATCCTCGAAACCATCGAAAACCAGAAATGCTTGGAAGACCAAAGCTGCAGCTCCCGGTCCCCCACCTCCGAGACGAGCACTGACGGGCGAAGTTTCATCCAGGCTTGGCATGTTTTGATGCCACCGAGTCCAAAGCCACCGCAGCCCAGGTCGGATTTGACAGCCCGCGAGACATAGGTGAATCGCGTCCGTGGCTTCAGTGGATCGTGGACCACTACGACTCATGGCTTTCAGGGTATGCGTTTCACGGCATTCCGGGTCCGAAATCATGTCGCCTGCCAGAAGAAGGGCCATGACGGGTCTCGTCGGGAGAATTGGGTGTAGTCATCGAAGAGATGACTGGAAGGCGAGCGTGTAGGAGAGGTTAGCAGGCAACACAATACAGATTCCTACAGCCTGTATAGCCCACCCAGCTGAAGCTGGACGGATTTTGACCACCCCAGCAAGGACACACTGCCCGAAGTTGTCGTCTTCCTCCACGGAGACGAGACCGCTTGGCATCACGAGCATCCGATGGACCTGAAGTTCCTGAGAACGCACACGCCGAAGAATGTGAGCATGCTTTCCGACAGGAACTGCGTTTGGAGAGCGGATCTTCCCCGCAGAATTCCGGACGAGCTGCCTGGCCTGGACCTGCTCTATGGAGCCTTTTGGAGCATCAGCTTCGAGCAAGACCCCTGGCCGAACACAAGAAAGCAACCTAGGACCTGAAGTGTTTTTTGTTCAGCTCCAACAGTCTGTCTGAGAGGCTTTCCAGCGTTTTCGCATGGCGGAGACATTCATTTGCTGCTCGGAGAATATGGTCAGCCGCGAGGCCATCCGCCGCTTCAGCAAGCCTGTGTACCAGCAGCTCCTGGGCAGTCACATTAGGAGCTAAGCACACCCACGCCCCTTCACCTTGAAGCTGCAACCCATCATTGCGTGTCGAACTGCACAGCATTTGGGGCCGATCTCCATATCTGGACTGCACACCCCGACATGCGATCATTCCATGTGCTAGGCTGGAAAGTTGTGTGAGCCCTAACCTTTTGGGCAGATATTGAATCCAGCAGTAGGCTCCTGCAGACGATCGACGACCATAGCCAGTGGAGATGGGGATGGATCATGGAGAGGTCTTGGCAAAACTTGTGGAGTGCTCCAAACCCCCTCCTTGATGCGGAGATCATTCAGCGGCTGAAGAAGACTCAGGCGCCGAACTCCTTCTTGGTCTTGCGCAAAAGCGATGACAGCCCCAGTGCCACCTCATCGGTGCAAGCTGTCTTGAAAGCTGCCGCGCAGTGCGGGGATCCGATGTAGCGCTGCTCTGCCTCATCCAATCAGAACTGTCTCCGAGGAGTGCGAGGCACTGATTCCTTATTCTCAGATGCCGGAGAACTGCATAAGCCTGGCCAAAAACTCGAGCAGGATTGATTCGGTTGAAGTGGTTATGCCGGCGAGCGGCACTGCCCGGCTTTGGTACAATATTTGCAGTATAGGTCGTCAGGGGCTCATAGCAGCGAGGATCAGGCATTGTGGGGCTTGGGCAACAGACTGGGGTGACCAGTAATCGCAGGCTTTGTCGCTCCCAGAACAAAGCCCAGGGACAACGAGATATCATTTCGTTTGAATCAGGTGCGAAAGCTTCGGTGTTCATGAACTTCAGGTGGCTCTAGTCCTCAGCTTGCCTCTGTCTTTGTTATGGTTGCGCCAGAGGCACCAGCACTCCTCGTACCTATACTCGGCGGAAATCTTGGCGAACACCTATGCCCTCGGTGCATGTTTATATGTGATTCGCTGTCTGGACCGACAAGCCAGGACCCAACTCCAGTTGTCGAGACCTTGTTGAGAGTGTTGTACCGAGAAGCCACGCAAAGAGAGACGGAAAGTTTTGTGAAGCATAACAATCCATCTCAGCAGCTTTGACGAGAATCTGAGAGAAACAGGACATGCTGATGTGCAGCATGCAGCAAGGCATCATGCGCTAGAGTGCAACACGGCCTCAGTCCACAAAAGAAGCAGCCTATCGTCGTGCCACAGAACCCTGTCACTCGAAATGCCTGGCATGCAACCAGCAACATTGTTTTTTGGAGTGTGGGGGGCGGGGGATGATGTCTTTGTTGAAACATCTCGCCAGGCCAGCGACCCCGAGATTGTCCCGGTGCTCACCGAGCTCTTTAATCAGCTCAGCGGCATTGGGCTTCAGTAGGGGTCCTAAGATGGCTTGGGAACGCAGCGATTTGTGGCTCTGGTCTGACGCACCAGACATGCTCGCCCGTGACTTGCAACATGCACGGTAGCGGCAACGAGCGGAATCAGCATCGGCACAGGAACTGCAATTCGGCCTGCAATGCCAAGGTGCCTTATAGCTTCAGAGAGCAAGCTGGAGGAAAGCCTGGTGCGGCGGAGATTCGATTTTGGAGTAGACGATTGAAGTTCGTCGCAGCAGACTGGCCGTTTCTGTGCTGTCATAGAACGGGTACACGAGAATCTGCGTCGAGACGCGGATGCGACAAAACATAATTAAGGGGGCTTGTTCAAAGCTGCATGCCAAAAGCAAGCGGTTCAATGCAGGAGATAACAGAGCTCGTCGAGGACTTCTTTGGCATGTTTGAGCGGTGCGCCGGGTCGGTTTCTGGCAAAGGAAGGCCAATGTTGCGAGGATTTCTCTGTGAAGCTTCAATGATTCAAGGCTTTTGGGTTGGTGTCATGGTTGGCATGCGGAAGGTTTTGGGCGCCTCTATCCCACGTGACACCTGTAAACCTTGCACAAATGATTCAGATGCAAGTGATCAATTTTGGTTCATTTGTCGGAACAGAGTTTTGAAAGTTGGCATCCAACCGAAGAAAGTTATGCAGAATGGAAATCGGCACTTTTTTGTTTTGTCTCAACTGGCAATCTTCGAATTGTGGACCGCTCGCAGCCTCCCCGCACACATCCCGCGAACCGGATATCGCGCTCCTCCGCTTGTCCACGCCTCCTCCGTGCACCGCGTCCACCCGACAATATTAGCGCTCCCCGCCTTGTCCACTCCTTCCCTGCGCATCGCCTGCGCACCCGATATCGTGCTCGCCCGTGCAGGCGATATCGCGATCCCCCGTGCCGAAACCAACCGAAAGGGTGTTTGACTCCTGGATCCAGCCTGCCGTCCGACCTCTCCCCGCCAGAGGATACACCCTGCAGCCCGACACAACCATCCTCCGTGTCAACCCCCACCGTCTCGGCCGTGCCCCGTGTGACCCCTTCCTTGTCGTCGTTCTTCCACCCGCGTCCAAGTCTGCTAAATCTCCTCGTTCGATATCGCGCGCCTCGCGTTGGCGTTCGAGCACTAAATGAGAACCCAACACCAGAGAGGTTTTCGAGAAAACCCTCGTCCTGGAAATTTGGATCGAGTGAGACGGAGGCGGACACCATGCCACAATGTAGCAGCAGGTTTAGACGGCAAGCCAAAGCATGGAAGGTACTTGCGCTTTGCGCCTACAATTGTTATAAATGTCTGGGCCCTCAGCCAGGATTCTGGGGAATGGTCTGGGCAGGTGAGTGACCAGAGTCCAGCTTGGCTTCTGGCCTGATTGTGGTTTCACACATGTTGACCAAAGGTTGGAGGGCCTGCCCTGAAACATCAGGACTACTCGGGATCTGAAGCATGACCAGTTGAGAGTCTCAATCTGGTCGGACCCGAAGAGCTTTGTCTGATATGTGCAGTCCAAGACTTGTGACTTCAAAGGCCCGGCTCAGACCTGTAGGTCTGCGCGGTGCGTCGTAGCGATAGGCCTGTGCAGATTCAAGATCCTTTGAAGCTGAGGCCCCGACGCTTCTGCCGACTCTCCGATTGTGGACTTCCGGCTGCAATGTAGCAGTTCTGCAGAGGCTAATCGGCCGGCTTCAAAGTTGGGAAGACATGCGTGTCTGAGCTCGTTCCAAACAGAACCGGGTTCGACAAGACAAGGTTACAATCCTGCAAGTGAGATTGCGTCCAGCGCCGGCCATGCCGCTCTTTTAAGCTGGTGACCTGCTCTACCCCTTCGTTTGCTCATAGCTAGCCGCTTCCCCCGAAAAACTGAGATCAGTGAGAAGCGTGCAACTTTGTAATCTGTGGTTGTACTAATAAGTACTTTATTGACTGAGGAGTGTCGTGATCTTTGTGCAGCAGAAGGAAGCCGTCGAGGTCGCGCTTGTGATAAGGCTCTTAATGGAAGCCGCTTCGAGGATTCAAGGCCAAGAAGCATGGCTCCGATAGATCAAAAGCAAAATCGCTAAATCATATCATTCATGCCTTTACATGCGCTGGCTCAGTGTGACTGTAGTACTAGGATGTACTAGGTTCATATGCTGACAGCGCCACGAACTTAGACCCCCAAAGTTTAGCCATTCTCTTGCTTTGTTCCTTTATTCACTTCGAGGGTCAATCTTCTGAACTGAGTGGGCCCTGCAGTCAAATGGGTTTGTTCTGTTCCTTACACCTCCACAATTCTCGGAGAGGCTTAGTGGTCCTTCATGATGTGTGCGGCCTCCACGCTCTGGTAACCGTGTACGGAGGGGAGCCGGATGTCGAATAGGCCGTCATCGCTTTCATCGAGTCTGTATTCTCGCACATTGCAGAGACCAAGAAAGTCGGCAGGCCAGCTTGTTTCGGGTATAGGTTTATGCTTTGTCGCTACCAATATTTGCATGTTCGAATAATACCTGAAGGCGTACATGTGAGGGAGAGTCGTGATTGACGACAAATATCAGACGCTCTTGGACAATGTTTGCGCGGTGTCTCTTCAACGTGAATTCTCCACAAGCCTACACACGCTAGTTGCCGAGAACAGACCCTATACGTGCAGTCGCGAGCAACAAACGTACAAACTGCTACCGAGGAATCACGCTGCGAACCTATTTCAAAGATGGGATAGCTCGCAGCTAAACCTCAAAAACAAAAGGATGTCAGTGAGGACCCAGGCTTGAAAAAACTGCAGCAGGTAGAGTATGCGAGTATGTCTTTGTGCCCAGAATCACTGCCCCCTCAGATCTGATTTTAGTGTGGCGGGGGCTAGGGTTCGGATGTCGGCTCGTGGTCTTACGGTTTCACGGCTTGAGCTTCAGGTTGCTGGTCTGCACATTCGGCAAATAGTCCGTGCTTTCGGGAACGGAACGTGTGCAATGTGCGGTGTTCCCACGCCACGGAGACTTTGCAGGCGCTTCGTAGATGAGCAGAAGGCCTCCATCGGCCAGATGCTTCAGCCCCATGCCATGCAGGCACTTGCGCTGTTCGGAGTTTCCAGCCCACTCCACCCCACCCCACCCCACAGCGGCACGGCACCACAGTAATTGAACAGGATGGGATTTGCTGCGGGCTTTTCAACAGCAGTTGAGCTGCGGAACCGAGTTGGAGTTAGCAGAGGTTGTTGATTCGGCGGCTGTTTGGAACGCTACTCTTTCCAAAGGGTTAATGAAGGTGGCACCAGGTTTCGTCGAAGCCGTGTTCAAGCTCATCGCTGTGGTGCCCTCCTGAGCCAGTTTGGCGTGATCTTTCCAGCAGCCGTGTCATATAGTGAGACATGGCTGAGAAATGTGCCCCAAACACAATGCGTTTTCCGGAAGCACAGGCCGCGGCTTCGAGGGTTTCTCCTCGCTCCATGAGTTGAGGTTCCCACAAAGTACGTGCAAGACTGCATCCCCTCTATCCTGGAGGGCGTCCGATCTGCGTTTCCCCAGGCCTGGGGTAGCGCAGGGTGCAGGGCTGGAAGAATTTTCCCACACTTGCCTGGGACAAGGGTGTTGAGCATCCGGGAGTCAGAACCAGCATGAAGTGCTAGTTTTTTTTCTTTTTGTACAAACTTACTTACTTCAGAGCTCAGGCTACATACCTGCCGAGAGCGAGATTGGGTCCTCCCTTCGAGCCCCGCCCCCGCATCTACCAGGAGTTCGCCAATTGGCTGGAAGCCGGTCTCGGTCACCTGCCCCCGTCCGTTGGCTCCAAGGCACGGGGCCTCCTATGCTCTGCACTCTGGATCCTCTGCCCACGGCCAGCCGAGTAAGCACACTGGTCGGACTGTGGGAGCTCAGATTGCACGTCTTTCCCTTGGAAGCAACAACAGCTTGGCCTGTCACCATGATGGCCGTGGGTACTGCTGCTAAAGGCAAGAAGCCCTTAAAGCGCCAGATCTGTAAGTGCTGCAAAGGAGCATCGCACTTTGAGTTTGGGCTTGTCCCGTGCTTTCGATAGATTGGTTTTCGGTTGGCGGATTCAAGTTTCCGGGTTTTGGTGTTCCAGGGCTTCAAACATTGAAGCGCAATCACTCATCACTCATCGCCGGCAGTCCGAAGGCCTGCTGAAATCCCAGCAGGCCTTCGGACCCGATAGTTCCGTAGATTGAACCTCCCGGAACTGTCCAAAACTCGTGCAACTTGCGTCCCCAAGTTGTGTACACCCACGACAGAAATGACATCCAGCTAGCTGCGCACTGGAAGGCCGAGCTTCAAAAGTTCGGAGAGCAGATTTTGCGCGGCGACGACGCACAGGTTTACGAAGCGATCCAGGAGAGGGGGTTTTGAACTCTTGCATGTCTTCGTCAGGATGTTTGCTTTTCATAAGAGTCATCGAGGTTCTTGACACAAGCAGGGCTCGTTCAGGCAGCTACATGTCCATTGTGGGAGGAGCCGGCGGTCTGAGCGCGAAATTACAAACCATTCTTCGAACCACCTGCATGACCAGAGGACCTGTGCTACCGCTGCGAGCAGGCGCAACAGTACCAACGCAACTGTGGGCACACAAGGATTTGCGGCCTTGGGCTTACTTGGTACAGTAAAGCCCCTGAAGTTTGGGCCGATCCTACTCCATGGATGTAAGGGCTCTACCTCCTAGGTTGCATAATTTGTTCGGGTTACATACGCTATAAGTAATGTTACATGATTTTTAGAATGCGTGGCGTGTAATGCAGGGGCTGGCTGCTTGTTGAGATTCATGTCTGCGCGGGTGCGAAGACAAGGCGGTATTGGTATGAGTATTCGTGTTGGTATTACTTTTTAAGTGTTCGTATTAGTATCATCATTGTAGTGTTATGTATACATATGCGTATGTAAATGTGTATGTATATATATATATATATATTATATATATATATATACATATATATATATGTGAATGAATGATATTTCTATATAATATGAATGAATGAATGAATGAAGGAAGGAAGGAAGGAAGGAAGGAATAAATGAAATGAAATGAAATTAAAGAAATGAAATGAAAGAAATGAATGAATGAATGAATGGAATGGAATGGAATGGAATGGAATGGAATGGATGGATGAATGAATGAATGAATGAATGAATGAACGAACGAACGAAGGAATGAATGAATTAATGAATGAATGACCTGCAATGCGGTCCTCGGATCAGCCAAGTGGGAGCCAAAAATGAATGAATGAATGAAGGAAGGAAGGAAGGAAGGAAGGAATGGCAAAATGAAATGAAATGAAATGAAAGAAATGAAATGAAAGAAATGAATGAATGAATGAATGAATGTATGTATGTATGTATATACATACATATATATATATAGATGTATATGTATCTATATATGTATTGGGACGGATGTCGTCCCCGGCCTGTGGAAGTATCTTCAAACAGTTCAGAAGATTTTCCTTCAGCAAGTGTCTCGAAGCTATGCAGCTATGCTCAATGTTTCTGTTGCTTTTGTTGACTCACCAACATCTCCGGAAGCCATGCTGCACCCTGCAATTCGGACTTGAGCAGCTTGGACCCTGCAGCTCTGACCTTGCTTTTGATGCTCCCCCTTCGGCCCGGCCCGAAAAACCTGAACTTCCGTAGGTAGTTTTACGGAGCCGCGGCCAGACCGACAGTGGAGGCCGGAGGAGCATCCGGAGATGTTTTTCGGGTTCTGGATGTGGAGACTTTCGGACATGGAGCTTGGATTTAAGGCCAGCTTGGAACATTTGAGAAGGAGCGTGTCGCATGTGGTGTTGCCAAACACCATGGACACTGAAACTTCGAAATCGCTACAAGGCCCAGAGATCCAAAAGCTTAAATCTCATGCAACGAGAGCGAACACCCAAATCTCCGGCAACGGGTGAAGCCCCAACCCGGAAGTTCACAGTGCGAGCTTCACACTGAGCAAGATCCGATGGATGGCCCGTCACCTGAGGTAAGCTCTGAGCTTTCTACCATCCCAGGGGTTTGAACAAGCATTGCATGGCTTCAGGGCTTGGGGCCTGAGGCTTTCGCAGTCTCCGGCAGATTCCCGGCGTTCGTGTCGGGATGTGAGATCTTGATTGGAGCTTCTTCTCCGTCTTCTCCGGGCTAGTTATGAGTGAGTGAGTGAGTCAGTTGCAGGATTTCTTCGGGTGGCCCAGGCCATGTAGCAGCGAGGTCGCGTCGTAGCCTCTAAGTGAAAGTTTCGGCTCAGTGGGCCCAGTGGAGGCAAGAAGAAAAGGTGATGCGCTCCTGTTCTGCACTCGCCGACGCCTCAACTCTTCGTGCGTTGAGAACCCTTCAGTAGCCAAGACAGTTTGTGTGAAGCCCTTAGCTTTCCTGGAAGGGTATGCAAGGGTGTGCATTAGGACTCTATCACATCTCTACAGCGGTGGCCTGTGGCTTGTGCTCGCTGCATGTTTTGCCAGTTTGGAGTTCTGATTGTCTGTTCTGGAATTCCGTGTATGTAGCTTGTGGGTCGGTCGGCTGGGCTCATCTGACAGGCAACCTGCCACGGGTAAATGAGACAGGGAAGGCGCACAGCGAGCACACAAATGATAAGTCCATGGGCCGCAAGCCGTGAGCCCAAGAGTGAGACACCGTTTTCCCACTCGTGTCATCCGTGAGGTTCGAACCAGTTCGGCCGAGGGTCGGAGAAGCGTCAAAGTAGATAGACGTTGGCGGTGACAGTGACAACGCATGGTGCAAACTGATTCCCTCCTCAGCTGCTCAGGCCTCAGGCGACTGCTTCGAGAAATAGCTTGAGGCCTCCCGCACCCAGCACCTGATGTCTTTTGCTATTCAGCGGCGGGCACCAGGTAAGCCGGTACAGACAGATAGATTGAAGCAACATGTTTCAGGAGACTCTCTACCAACGCGCGGAATATGTAGCGTGACTGGATCCCTTCAGCCCAGAGCCTTTCCCTCCATGCCTTCTTTGACGCTAGTGATGCCGACGAGGGATTTTCACAGGCCTCGTTGTGGGCTCACCTCTCGCGGCAGCGATGGAAAAAGATGCCGAAACGCAGGGTTTGCATGTGCTTCGGGAGTGAAGCATGCGTCTCTTGACCTCAAGCCCGTCAAGTGCACACACTCTCTCCAACCCGTGGAACCTACCGAATTGGTCACCTTAACCCCTGCACTTTTCACGTCAGTCGGTAGCAAGTGCGAAACCAGTTATTGTAAGTTCCGGTAGCCTGTTGCTTTGAAGATGGCAGAATGTGAGGCCGTTCCTTCTTCAGACATGTGTCCCACTAGTCTTCCCTGCCGCTGCTGATTCCTTTGACCAGCTGTCTGAAATAAATTCTATAGTGAAGCAAAACCAACCGTAAGCTAAACCCTGTGCGCCGAAGCCGCCCTGGAAGCCGAATATGAACGCCCTACTCATGCCCTCAGCCCAAAACACCCTCAGCAGCATCAGCCCGGCACAAAACTAGGCCTTAAGAGTGCAAGGCACTGCAAGGCCACGACCCGTCCACAGCCGGGACTCCAGAGTTTACCACGAACCGGGGCTTCAAATATTCGGAAGTCTTCTGCATGCACGCGAACGGCGCAGCTCGGGTGCCCATGCACGGCTCCAAGCCGGACCTGCTTCTTGGTTTGGTTTGGGGCCTTACTTTGATTTTCGCGGCAGACCCTGCTTTGGTGTTAGCCAGAACGTCCACCCAACCATCACACAGAGGGGGTACATGTGGGGAGTCGAGTTGGCAACTCGGGGCACATTCGAAGGATGCGCCGGTTTCTGGTGTCATGGCAACCAGTACAAGTCTTAAGCCACATTGGGTGAAGCAAAGTTCTTATCACCCGCGAGGTTTGGCGTTCTTTCCATCATCCAGCCTTCTGCGGTCTCTGCTTCTGTGGCTTCCGCTTCTGGCTCTGACAACGATGGCAGCGAGTCGTGGTCTTGTTCCACGAGTGACGGGACTGGCAGCGAGTTTGAATGCTGCAGATGCTTAGCTTCGTTTGATTTTCGACCGTCCACCGAACAGAACTGGGCTGCTATTTCAGCAGGTTTGTGTTTGTGTGTTTGGTTTTCCACAACTTTCTCTTTCTTCGTGCAGAACGGCGAAACCCACAGCACCTGCGGCTGAGGAGTCACTTCCCGTCGAACCACTGCAGACCGGGACCTCCTGCAGGGGATGGGGTGTCACATGGCTTGCTCACCATGTTTTTTTCTCCTGCTCGAGAAGGCTCCCGACTGAAATTTTAGCATTTCCTGCCCGGGGCCCAGTCTTTCTTCTTTCTTGAGACCTTCGGTCGCCAGCTTGGCATCTCTGAACTGTAACCAGGCGGAGTCCCGGAAAACCTCAACACTTCCACGGAACGCTGCCATGAAACCCGAAACCCCCTGACCGCCTGATGAAAATCACAAAAATAGCAATCCCGGAGGCCACGAAACCACACGCAATCGTCATGTTTGCTGGCATTCCCAAGTCCATTACTTAAAAACAGAGGCCGGGAGGTATTTGAGCGCTCGCATGCTGCATCAACGCATCGTTCGAAGCCTCGTCTAAGCGCCTCAGCCCTCAAACCTAGGCCTCGAAAGCACGCCCACAGACCCTTACAACCTGACCAAAGATCGCGGAGGAATTGAGAGGCCTCCTGGCCCAGCGTGACAGCATCAATGCAAGCATCGAGGAAAGTGGGGACTTTGAAAATTGAGTTCGGCTATAGTTTCGGAGGCTTTGCGGTTCAGGGCTCTGCAAGAAAGCTTCGGGGCCAGGTTTCTGACCGCAACTGATCCGTTTGGGAGTCGGAGAGTTCGGAACAGGTCCGGACCAGGTGCTAGGAGAGCAAGTCGACATGAATCCTACAAATTCACGGGGCGTGCACGTCGTCTATGGTGTCTCCTGCGGTTTTGGCTTTTGATGCTGTCTTCGTGATCCGAAAGTCTAGCCGGCAAGGAAAAGAACCTGGCCAATGCCTCAAAATAATAGTTCCCGCGTCCTGCTATACGACATCTTTTTGTTGGGGGGTTCCTCGCATCCAGTACAGCCTTGTTGGCCGGAAGGAATATGTCCGACGGCGAGGTTTAGAACTTCCGACAGCCGCTTGGAGGGCAAAGTGAGGAACCGAGGTGGACAGATATAGGAGCGCGGATGATCGGGAGCCTTGCCATCGTTCCTGCTATGTTTCTTATGATCAGTCCGGGTCGAAAGAAGGGGAGAGCGTTTTGGGTTTGGGGTTTAGGGGCCTGCAAGCCAGTTGCAAAAAAGGGACCGCCTGTTGCAAAAAGGGGTCGAGCGGATCTGGCTAGTCCTCAAGCCAAGTAACAAGGCAAGGGCGGCTGTTTAGGTTCCATGTTTTTGTTCACGGTTTGGAATGAGTTTGCAGCGATGAGGCTT